CGTAAAACGGGTGCAGCTAAAGGTGAGAGCTGGTTAACATATACACAAATATAAATACACCATTTGTTCTGAATATAGCAGGAGTCAATGCGTTTTGGAGTTAAGAGTGGAGGTAGGAGAAATGGGCGCTAACTGACCCTGACGCTATCTGATGTCGCTAGTGGCAGTAATACAGTGATCGATGAAAAAAAAATCTATATATACTGAAACTGTGCTAATGGCACTGGCTGGGTGATGGGGTGATCAAAGGGATAAATGTGCTAATCGAATGCATGTGTGTGTAAAATGTAGTGATTTTACTCAGTGTCGTGTTCTCTCTTCTCTCCTTGGACTGGCGGGGGGCATGTACTCTGAGAAAAGGAAATAAACAGTGAAGTAAGAGTACGCTGTTTTGCCCAGAGCCGCCGCTCGCCTTCACAAGGCGTGCTGGCGGCAAGTAATTAAAAAAAAAAAAAAAAAACAGCAAAGGCTTTTTTTTTTTAAATTTCTCAGTACAATATGTTATTTTTGTAAAAAAAAGTTTTATTATTATTTTAAATACTTTCATCAGAGTAGGGCAATGTTACCATAATAACATTGTACTACTCTGGAGGGGGGGCGGGGAGTGATCAGAGATGTTTTTTGTTTTTCACACTTTGCATTGCAGGAGCAATAAAAAATATTGTTCATGCAATGCTTGCTTAGAACTATCATGAATGGGTTAAGTTCGTGACATTTCAAAATACAGTGATCTGTGATGATCACAACTGATGTTCTGACTGCTTATCTAATTTCTTGAGGTCCTAACATGCCAGAACAGTACAAATACCTCCCAGATGACCCCTTTTTGGAAAGTAGACAGTCCAGGGTATTTAGTAAGAGGCATGGCAAGTTTTTTGAAGTTGCCTTTTTGTTCCACAATTCTTTGAAAAATGAAGAAATTAAATAAAATAAATGTTTCCACAAAAATGTCATATTAGTTCTCACACACTACATTCCTCACATGCCAAAGAACATTCTGCTACTCCTGAGTATGGCGATACCACATGTGTGAGACCTTTGAGGCCTAGCCACAAAGAGAGGCCTAACATCCAAGAAACACCTTCAGGCATTATCCAATTTAAGACCAGGTCTTCTTCTGGCACCTTTTGTTTAGAAATAAAAATCTGTATTTTTGCTAGAACCCCCAAACATTATATATATTTTTAGCAGAGGTCCTAGAGCATAAAATGGTGGGTTTAGCATATTTTTATGTCACATGGTATTTGCGCAGCGGTTTTTCGAACGCAAAAATACACTTTTATGAATTGTAATGCATGCAAACACAATATAATAAGCAGTTTTTGATTAAAGTATGGTGTTGCGTCGAGTAAATCGATACAAAACATGTCACAGTTTAAAACCGTGCACGCTGATGAAATGGCACCCAACTTCGGCATTTAAAAATCTCCATAGGTGACACTTTATAGGACTTTACAGGTTACCAGTTGTTACAGATGAGGTCTGGTGCTAGAATACACCCTGTTCCAAATTATTATGCAAATGATATTTTTCTCATTTACCTAAATAATTGATGTAAATAACAGTCAGCATGATTCTCATGTTATCAACCATTAAGAGTACAATTCACATTTTATTGAACAAACCTCCTAATGATAACAGTATTTTTTTTTAACATAAAAAAACTTACAATGCACTGTTCCAAATTATTACGCACAGTAAGTTTCAAAACACTTTATAGGTTGTAAAGAAATGAAAATTGTCATTTGTTGTGTTTGCAGCATATTTACTGAATTCAAAAGCTATTTCAATCAAACTTTTAAAAACATTTTAACTTTTTAAACATTTTAAAAGGTCACGTTACATTTTAACATAGGACCCCTTATTTGATAGCAGCTTCACAAGTCTTGCATCCATTGAACTTGTGAGTTTTTGGATAGTTTCTGTTTGAATTTGTTTGCAAGATTTCAAAATAGCCTCCCAGAGCTGCTGTTTGGATGTAAACTGCCTCCCACCCTCAGATCTTTTGCTTGAGGATGCTCCAAAGGTTCTCAATAGGATTGAGGTCAGGGGAGGATGGAGTCCACACCATGACCTTCTCTCCTTTTATCCCCATAGCAGCCATTGATGCAGAGGTATTCTTTGCAGCATGAGATGGTGCATTGTCATGCATGAAGATGATTTTATTATGGAAAGCATAGTTCTTCCTTCTGTACCAAGGAAGAAAGTGGTCAGTCATAAACGCCACATACTTTGCAGAGGTCATCTTTACACCTTCGGGGACCCTAAAGGGGCTGACCAGTTCTGTTCCCATGATTCCGGCCCAAAGCATGACTCGACCACCGCCTTGCTGACGTCGCAGCCTTGTTGGAACAGGATGGCCATCCACCAACCATCCACTACTTCATCCATCTGGACCATCCAGGGTTGCACGGCACTCAGTGAACAGGACTGTTTGAAAATTAGTCTTCGTGTATTTTTCTGCCCATTGCAGCCGTTTCTGCTTGTGAGCATTGGTTAGTGGTGGCCAAATAGAAGGTTTATGCACAGTTGCAAGACTCTGGAGGACTCTACACCTTGATGTCCGTGGGACTCCAGAGGCACCAGCAGCTTCAAATATCTGTTTGCTGCTATGTAATGGTATTTTAGCAGCTGCTCTCTTGATCAGATGCATGGATGTGGCAGAAATCTTCCTCAATGTGCCTTTATCTTCACAAACCCGTCTTTGCTCTGAATCAGCCACAAATCTATTACTAGTGCGATGATCACGCTTAAGTTTTCGTGAAATATCTAATGTTTTCATACCTCGTCCAAGGCATTGAACTATTTCACTCTTTTTGGCAGCAGATAGATCCTTTTTCTTCCCCATATTGCTTGAAAATGGTGCTCTGCTTAATAATGTAGAACACCCTCCTTTAGTAGTTTTTTCTTAAATTGTTCTCACCTGCCAATCTAATTATCACAGGTGTCCGAGATTGTTTTCAGTGATCAAAAGAGCCTTGAGACACAATGCCATCCATGAGTTAAACTGAAAAACAAAATATTTAATCTTTGTGACACTTAAATAGAATTTGCATAATAATTTGGAACAGGGTATAATTGCACTTGCTCAGACGTTTGCGGCAATACCTCACATGTGTGCTGCAATCACCATTTACATACGCCTACAGGACCAACATAAGCATTCGCCTTTGCACAGGGGGATGGGGGAGCTTTACATTTTTTATTTATTGGTGGGACACTGGTAGACTGACAGATATTTTTGTGCACTTGTACACTGTGACAGATGGTGATCGTCCACCAGCAGACACCGACAGATGTTGCAATGGAACACTATTATATGTTTTTGTGCACTGGTACACTGTGACAGATGTTAATGTGACACTAGTACACTGTTGCAGATGTTTATGTGACACTTGTACACTGTGACAGATGTTCATGGGACACTGGTACATATTGATGGGACAGGGACAGATGGTGCTCGGTGTACTGTGTGGGGATGGCTGCAATCTGTGTAATCTTTGTATAGTTGAACACTAAAATCATCAGCTAGACAGAGCTGTTACAGGCTGCAGTATCCCCCCCCCCCCCCCCCCCACACTGAGCTTAGTGGGAAGGACTGACACAGAGACACACTCTCTCTGTTTACACTGAATGATGACTGTGATTGGACATGTGCTCGGGAGGGCCAGTCACAGCGCCCATGTACCTATTTGTGATTTGCTGTGTTTGAGGGATACAGCTACACGGCCGCTACACGGCCCCGTTGTACTGACAGGACGTACAGAAACGTCCGCTCTGAATGGGAAAGCTCCCACACAGCTGATTATGTGCAGTGGCCATGTGAGAAGCGGTTAGGGAGTAACTCTACTTTTGTTGATAAAAAAAAAAAAATTCACCTCTGGGTGATCTATGTACATTGCAGGGATTTTAACAAACTTTGTTGCAGCGTCCTACCTTTTGTTATTCTAGAGAAATAGCTGGTTGTTTGTGTCCATGTGCAGAGTGAATCCGTATGGGAGTGGTTTTCTAATTCAATCAGCTGCTGCACCTGCAGAGTTCTGAGAAAAATTGCAAGGTCCCCATCCCTTAATGAGAAATATTGCAGGGTCTGCATCCCTTTAGACGTGTTTCCCTTTTGGAGTATCTCACCAAAAATTACATTTTTGTTGCAGGGGATGCTCAAAATCGAATTTGTATCTTAGTGCAGAGTTCTGGGAAAATCAGTAAGCCAATCACACAAGCAGGAAATGACGTACCTGGGGGGTGGGTGGGGGGGGGGGGGAGCGTTCTGTACACCATCTGTGTTCAGAACACCTCCAGGTAGCCATATTGCATTGCATTTTACAGAGAATTACAGTGCTCCAGATTGAAAGAAAGGTAATTTTTATTAACATTCAATTACAATATGTATTTTTTCTCAATTGTATACGGTATATTTTTTTCCCATGAAAGTGGAGTTACCCTTTAAGCCCAAAAAATAATTATTAGGGGCCAGTGGAGGTTTTGGACCACCAAATGTTATTTATGTAATATCAGTTTTTGGGGAACCATTTTTTAAGGTTGTCAGGTTCTAAGGTGTCCTGCATGAAGAGATTGTTCTTATTTGAAAATTTTATATGACCGTTAATATTGATATCTGTCTTAGGGATTACAGTATTTGCCCGAAATTTGCGGGGGTTACGTTCCAACAACACCTGCAAATTTTGAAAAAAACGCAAATTTTGGATGTGGTAAAAAAAAAAAGTAAAATGTGTGGGTACTCACAGAATGAATACTGTACGATGAAAGCAGGGGATTTACAGCTCCTCGGGTGGCGCCTCTTCTTCGGGTGCTTCAGGAGGAGTCGTGTACTGTACAGACTTTCAAAGATGTAAAAATATTCTTATCTAGTTACACGCTGCCTTACAGATATGTCTGTAGTAAAATAACATCCTTTTTACACTTTCCTTTGCTGTTTTGTTTCACTTTAAAATGTTAAAATTTTTCAAAATATGTTCTCTGTATTTCCTTCTACTCAGAATCTTGAGGCAAAGCAGATGAAGAAAAAGGGAGGCTGGCGTAAGGATATAAACACAAGATCACAGGGTTGGTATCCTGTGCAGAAAATTAACTGTGCAAGACGAAAGTTAAGTGGTATAAATCCAAGGGAAATCACGTGGTAAGTTCTGGAAGTGTATGTTCACAAAGTATTTTATATTCTAATTACTCCAACTGAGTATTCTAGTTCTTCCTTCCCAGACCCTTTGTTTACTTTGGAAAATGGACTGTAGCTCCCCTTTTTCAAAAGCTATATTTGTGACTAGAAAAAGTAAGCCTTATGGCTTGGGATTTATAAGTATAAATGTTGCATAGAACTTGTGGAACAGGTGACTCTGAATAGTGGCTATAAGTATATTAGAGTGCAGAAGAGATTGTATGCAAGAGTGGGGATAAAGTAACGAGTCTTGTAGTATAGTTCATGTGTAGTTCATAGTATATCAGAGCTGTAGCTTAATCCTGGCAGAGGTGAGGTGTGTAGTCCAAGCAGTAAGACCGTGGCTAGAAAGGGTCTTATTCAAGGAGGTTTGTGAACTGAACTTGAAAACTGTGATTCTATGGGTATCTGCAGCAGTCTGAGACCAAATAATATGCAGAATTATAAAACCCCATGGTATAAAAAATGACAGGAGTAGTAAACTGGAAATAAACAGAAGAACATAGCAGTTATATGGGAGGCAGAGCTTAGGGTGGTACACAGCGATATTCTGGAAAAGTGTTCAGTGTGCGGGCAGTCAACAGTGGATGGATAAAGAGGTGGTGAGGATAGGTTTGCAATTTGTGAGCAAAGGGTTAATGATGAGGTGCTGGGAAGATATGAGTGAGGTGTGAGGGTTCATGGAGAGTTGTGCAATATGCAGGCAAGAAGCCAAGGATTTATGGCGATTAGGAGGAACAAATATGAGAGGGTAGCCAAGAGTACAGGCATATACTGTAGTCGTGACAGGGAGATATAAGCAAGGTGCAGGCAGTCAGCAAACATTTAGAAGTTTAGAAATCCTTCTGTAACCAATGCCATCAGTATGTTTTGCAGCAATAAGGTTGCGAAGGTCTTGAGAGAGCTCTTCGCTTTTACCCATCATGAGATGTTTCTTGTGTGACATCTTGGTAATGAGACTCCTTTTTATGGGTCGTCCATTGAGACTGAACCAGCTGATAGAAATTAGAAAGCAATCCTGCCCCTTGTCAGTGCAAATTAATGATAGATTTCAGCAAGTGTTTTTAGCTTTCCATGCCTTTTTGCACCTCCCTTTCTCCGTGTGTTTGATACTTTTTCCCTGTGTCATTCCATTTTATTATACATTACTTAATTTCTGAACTTATTTGTTTTGGATTCATTGTATCTCTGGATTGCATGTTGCTACAGACGTGTGGTGGTGAAAATTTTCTGTCAATAGCAGTATATTTACCTAGAAAAATGATGACATGCTTTCCTGATCAGGCATAATTGATGTTATGCCTAGACCACATTTGTCAGTGTTGGTTGCTAGAACTATATAATTTATCTACCTAAATAACTTTTACATGTTTTTAAGACATATTGGTACACTATTTTAATACATTACCTACTTGTGTTTTGAATATAAGATGTCAAATATACAGGCGTTAACCACTTGGAAGATTTACCCCCCTTATTGACGACATAATTTTTTTGCTATTATAACTGGTAATTGCGTGGTCATGCAATGCTGTACCAAAAAAAAGTGTCCTTTTTTCACACAAATAGAGCTTTCTTTTGGTGCTATTTGATCACCAATGGATTTTTAATTTTTTTGTGATAAAAAAAAAAGACCGAAAAATTTAAAAAAAATGATCTTTTATATTTTCGGTTATAAAAAAAAACATATAGTAAACTCCAAGTTAGTCATAAATTGTATTCTGCCAAATGTATTCTGCTACATGTCTGGTTAAAAAAAAAAAAAAAAAATCCCATTACATGTATATTAACCACTTGCCTACTGGGCACTTATATCCCCTTCCTACCCAGGCCAATTTTCAGCTTTCAGCGCTGTCACACTTTGAATGACAATTGCCGACGTACAATACTGTACCCATATGAAATTTTTATCATTTTTTTCACACAAATAGAGCTTTCTTTTGGTGGTATTTAATCACTGCTGGGTGTTTTATTTTTTTTGTGCTATAAACAAAAAATAGAGCAAAAAAAAAAAAAAAAAAAAAATGTTTTTTTTTTTTTATTATAAAACTTTGCAAACAGGTAATTTTTCTCCTTCACTGATGTGCGTTTATGAGGCTGCACTGATAGGCAGCACTGATGGACACTGATGAGGTGGCATGGATAGGTAGCATTGATGGGCATTGATAGGCGGCACTGATGATGCACTGATAGACAGCACTAATGGGTGGCACTGCAAGGCACAGGTGGGTGGCACTCCTGAGTGGAAATGATGGGCACAGGTGGGCAGCACTGCTTAGCACTGATCATCGGTGCCCTGATGATCAGTGCCAATCACTTCCCTGAAAATTGCCGGTTATCGGCTGTACTTTCCTCACACTGTGACAGCGTGAGGAAAGTGCAGCCGATAACTGGCAACTGTATTTACTCGGTGATCTGCTGTGCCATTGGACACAGCTGATCACATGGTAAAAGGCCGCCGTGATTGGCTGTTTACCATATCATGTGATCAGCTGTGTCCGTAGGACACAGCAATCACTGGAAGTGCTGGGTGCGCACCGCTGGGAGTGCGCAGGGGGCATGTTCTGGAATGACGTCGTCCCAGAACTAGACAACTGCGCTGTAGCCGTCCTTTATCTATAGTGAGGTAGGGAACTGGTTAATTGGTTTGTTTGGAAGCTGTAGTGTCTACAAACTATGGTATATACAGTGCTCAACATAAATGAGTACACCCCAACAGATTTGTCAAAAAACCTTTCCTTTCAGAATCAACATTTTCTATGGGAAACAATGCTACAAAATACTCCCACAAATGCAGGCCATTGATTGCACACAAGATTTGTTCATTTGCACACGCAAAATGTATTTTTCCTAACAAATTAATTCAAGACCAAAGATTGAAAGCGCGACGGAGGTGCTGAGAGGAGACACACTGGGCTCTAATCCCCCGAACCGTCCAGTGGGGGAGGAGGAGGAGGAAGAAGCACACTTGGCTGCTGTGGCAGTGCCCGGGCCAGGGGCCTCACAGGAGGTGGAGACTTGGAGGCTTGAAGGTCCAGTTGTGGGAAGGACAAACGTTCAGAAGCATGGTTGAAGCGCAGACCTTCTCATTCTGCAGACAGTCAGAGTGGTGGTGACAAATACAATATGAACCGTGAAGATTGGAACGTGCTGCGTATGAAAGAAAGGGAAAGGCGAAATCAAGAAATTCAGCAGGGCAAAGAGACCTTTCCATCTACCTCTCCTCTCAATGCTGAACCTTATAAAGTTCAGGGAGGATTACTTTGCAGATACCCAGGACCCAGAGAGGGAGCCCTTATACACCTGGTGAGCTGACCTGTCCATCCCTTAAAGGGATCTCTGATATCCTCCCAGTACACACCAGATGCTTCAGGATCCAGGTTTATCCACTGAGGGATTTCACGTCATTCCTGTCCAGACCTGGATGACCTTGATGACATCAGGATATTTATACATAAATGCGCATTTTATTACGCGCTCTGGTGAGTGTGCATTCTTCTCATTTTTGACTGCACAAGCACCGATTTCTAGATGAACACAGGATTCCTATTCACGTTACTAGTCACTCTATGAACTATTTAATACAGTGTTTTAATACAGTGATTTTTATGTACTTTTTTATAGCGCTGCACTTTATCACATTTTGTCTGTTTGAGGTTTATTGGTTACCTTTAGTGCGTAGCAGCTTATAGTGCGCTCGCAAATATTTATTTTATTATTAGTGATCAAGCACTGACACTGTACTAATGACACTGGGCAGGAAGGGGTTAACATGAGGGGCGATCAAAGTGTTAACTTTGTGCAGGGAGTGTTTTACTAGCGGGCGGTATCTGTGTGCTTCACTGTAAGCACACTGCTTTGGATGACTGTGCTGTGCACAGCCATCCAAAGCAGTGTGCCCGAGCTGACGGGGAGGAGTACTGTTAGTAAACAAAACAGTCTTCCTCCCCGTCGGAAATCCTTGGTAATCACCGGGCGCCGGTGAATAATCACCGGGGCGAGACCCAGTGATTGACAGTCGGCGCGGGTAAGATGCGCGCTCGTTCACGTCCCCTACCCAGAAATGCAAAATCACCCGTGCTGCCCTGTAGCAGTATTTCTGATATAGGTTGGTCAGGAAGCCGTTAACAAAGAAAACGCCTTCCTACTTCATACTGTCATCAATGGCAACACATGGAAAAGAAATTAACAAGGCCTGAGAAATAAAATAATTTTCTTTACACAAGACAGGTGAAGGCTACAAAAAGATCAGCAAAGATTTACTTATCAGTCAGAATACTGTAGCAAGAGTGATACAAAAATTTAACAAAAATGGAACTGCAACTATTTCACAGAGATGTCCAGGTCATCCATGGAAGTTAACACCTCAACAGGAGCGACTTCTGCTGAGAAGGGCTGAAGAAAATCGCCATGCAAGTTCACTGCAGATAGCTAAAGAAAGCCAAACTGGGGTGATTGTTTCCCATGGCATAATATGGCATACACTGCAGAGGAATGGCATGCATGGGTGTCGTTCATGAAGGAAGCCTCTCCTAAAGTCCATGCACAAAAAAGTGCACCTAGAATTTTCCAGGGTCATACTGGGAAAAAAAAAGACTACTGGGACTTTAAATGTTTGTGGAACTGATGATTTCAACATTAACTGTATGGCGTCGCAAAGGTAAGGACTACAAAGAAAAATGCATGGTGCCTACAGTGGAACATGGTGGTGGCAGTGTCCCTTCTGTGGGGCTGCATGAGTGCTGCTGGTGTCAGGGAGCTGCATTTCATTGATGGTATCATGTATTCACAGATGTACTGCTCCATATTGAAAGAGAAGATGCCACAATCACTTTGTGCCTTTGGTCGTCGTGCACTTTTCCAAAATGTCAATAATTCAAAACACACATCTAAGGCCACTGTTGCATTTCTGAAGAAGAATAGGGCGAAAGTGATTCAGTGGCCAAGTATGTCTCCCTATCTGA